AGCCTCATCCTTCTTATTGTATTGTGTCTGAGATTGTGATGTGAATAAACATAGGATAGATGGTTAAACAACATTAATGACATTGGTTGTATTACTTCTCTAATTATACTCATTGATATATTTATGTTATGGACGATCTGTAGTATAGTAGAGTTATTATGGGACACTGAGCTTGTAAGCTCAACTTTCGAAATGTGTGTTTGTTCGCAAGTTATAAGTTACATGAAGCATGATGAGATAATGATATTATCGAAGGAATTTCAGTGAAATACTAGAGTATAACGATGATAATTTAGTGGCATTTAGAGATTATAAATTGAAAATGCGTTAACTTATAATATTTTGTTTATACACTTATAAATTGAGTTTTTAAATTAATACTCCACTTTTATAAATTAATATTATTTTCTTATTTGGTGTAAATACTTTAAATATTAGACAAATAATTTTAAAAAAATAATTAATCACTTCGGTAATTTAATATGACACGCAAATTAATAAGATTAAGGTGTTACAAAAATTACATATTGATAAGATTATATTATTTTAAACAAAATTTTCTTTTTCAAATTTCGAAGCGTTACAACCGACTCAAATATGAACATTTTTAAAAATAAATAAACGAATTCAAGCTCGATTCATTTACATTCCTAAGCATAGATGAATCCTCTGATTTCATCTCTGGTCTACCCAACGAGTGTTTGTCTTGTCTTTTTAATTCTCTTGATCTCAATGACCATAAACGATGCTCTCAAATATTGTTATGAAACTGGCTCTCAAATGTGACCCTAGATCGGTTAGCAACATAGCATCGACGATGAAGCGCTTGTTCTAATCTCCGAGCGCTGTCGAAAATGGAGGTGAGTTTAATTGTTCACAAATAAAAGGGGAAATTACATGGTCTAAGGGGAGGGTTTTTTGGTTCTCCCTCCCTAGAAAATCTCCATAAATACATGAATTTTTATTTTATTTATTATATTTACTAACTCAGACTTTCGTTGATGGGTTGATAAAAATTAATGGTTAAGAGATTAAAATTAAACAAAACGATAATATAAAAGATCAAAACTATTATTAAATAATGATTAAAATCGAATGAAATAAAAATATAAAGGACCTTTCATATGGTATATCCATAAAAACAATTAATCATCATATTTATATACAGTAAATATTAGCAAATATACAAGGAAACCAAAAGCACTCAGTATGGGATAATTGTCTCAAAACAGTGAACGCCATCCAGCTCCGGCGCAAACCTTGGCTTTAAACGTTGCTTCTGTTGTGTCTTAGCCACGGGCAGCGGCGATGACGAATTCTTAGGCTCCGTCTCTTTGCCATTCCCTTTTAAAGAATAAATTTCCGCCGGCTTCGCTTTTTCCGTCGGAGTTAGAGTGGCGGTAAACTTCATGTTCTGGCCAAAATAATCAGACAAAAGAACTTCGAACGAACTGAACATAGACATCATCATCGTGAAAAAAACAAGACTTTGTCTGTAAAAGATGCCGTTGATTGCTTGTTGGGAGTTTGATTTCGATATGAAGAAGATGAGGGATTAAGGGGGGATTTAAAGTAGGGGTGTGTAAATTCAGGTACTCGGATTTTCAGGTACCCGATTTCCGGGTACCGAAACTTCCGGGTCGACGATTTCTTGACCTGTGTCCCAACCCGGATGTTACGGGTATCCGGTAATCGGGTACCCAGATTTTGCGGGTACTGGTAATCGGGTACCCGATACCCGATTTTTAATTTTTTATTTTCAAATTATTAATTTAAAAAAATATATACACAAATTTAAATGTTCGAAACTTCGAATTACATACTCTAATATCCGAACATAAAATTTAAAAAATTTAAAAGTTCAAAATACAAAATATAATAATCCATAATATAAATAATTTATTATATTTTATATAATTATATATAAAAAAATAAAAAAAATAAAAACTAACCGGGTACTCGAGTACCCAGGTACCCGGAAAAACTAGATTTTGTGACCCGAGCCCGACCCAGGAAATATCGGGCCGGGTACCCGACCTGGCCGGGTAAATTTTTTTAAAAAATTACCCGATTTTTTTAGAACCGGGTCAACAAATTGACGAGTCGGATTAACCGGGTCGGATATTTTTACACATCCCTAATTTAAAGGGTAGAGAAGTAGAAGACAGATAGGATAAGAAACAAAATACGAGAATGATCTAGAAGGACGGTGGGATGTTGGAGTCCACGTGGTGGCATGGACGGCCAAGATTAGATTTTGGAGGATTTTAGGACAAAATAAGGTACTGTTGTACGAAGGTAGTCTGATTTTGTTTTCAAGTATTTACTATTTCATTTAAATAAGTAACATTAGAGGGTGAGTTTCTAGAATAAGTTGGAACTTGGAACATAGAACTACAAGTCACCAGAAACAACCAGAATTGCAATATGCGGCTTCCCGTCTCTTTCACTCTTATATATATATATATATATATATATATAGTTATGATGCAGTTACAATCAGAGTAAAATTCTTAATTTTATTTTTTTAAGGTCGTTAAATGATAAAAATTAAAGATTGAAATTAATTCTTTATTTTTTAATAAATATATTCTCCTTTCTTTCTAATAATCTCAGGCTTTGATTTCTTTTATTCAAAGATCTTAAAAATGTATAAAACTCTTAGTATTACACCATGTGTTATTAGATCATGCCCTATAAGTGTGTGTATTACATAATGTAATAGTTTTACACAGATTTAAGACCGTTAGATGAGTGAAAATAGATGACCGAGAATTACTCATGTTTTAGTGAATATATTTATTTTTTTAATTAATTTAAATCGTCTATTTTTATTAATCAAACGATGTTAAATTTGTGTAAAATTAAAAGAGTCTTACAATGTGTAATTGAGCCCCTATCTTATATGCATTGCAAACTCTTTTAATTTTACATAAATTTATGACTGTTGAATGCATGAAAATAAAATATCGAAATTAACAATAGAAATGAGATGATATTTACTGAAAAAAGTAAGAAATTAACCTCATACATTTATTTCCACTTATCTAACGGTCTTAATTTCATATAAAATTTAAAGAATTTTACATAGTGTAAGTAGATTCTAACTAATATATTTGTTCAACTGATTGTCATGCTCTTAAAAAATTCATAATTCTCACCTCAATTGTTCAATTGATTATGTAAGGGTTTGTTTTAAAAAGTTATTAAGTAATTGAATTTGAATACAATTAATTAATTAATTATATATTATTCTTATTATTAGTGAGTTTTATTTTATAATTGGAACAAAATCTTACAAGAGAGTTGATAATCTGGAGAACTGCACAAACAATTTACCATTGCGACTTCTAAACGTATTGTACCAAATGTTCTAAAACCGTGATTCATAATTTAAATTAATTATTAAATATTTTATTTTCATTCTAAATTATTAATATACGTTAATCAAGTTTTTTATCACGAAAATTATTAAATGTCAAATAAACATTGATATATGTAATTATATGATGTGATATAAATTATAATTAATAATAAAATAAAATGATAAATAATTTTGTAAAAAATAATAATGAAATAGTTGTAAAACGTTCAAAGAAACCTAACTTGATATATTAAGTTTTTATTTGTGAAGTTTGATAAATTCGGATAGTATAATTCATCAAACGACCTCAATGATTAAATAAGTGTTATTTTTCTCAGAGGTCTTAAGTTCAAGCAATTACTTATGTTAATGAAAGTGTGTTATCAACAACTAAAAAATATTCTAAAAAAATATTACCTCGTAATCACTCTAGACTATTATAAAAAAATTCCAACAATAAATATAATGTTTGATAAACACAAGTGACTAATTATTTCAAAGATAAACACATGCATCACATTCGTAAACAAATGACAAATTACCAAATGTATAATGTTTAATAAATATAACTATTAAATTAGCTAAAAAAACAAGGGTAAACTACACGAGTGACCACTCAACTACGGTCAAAAATCTTTTTGACCACCGATGTTTTAATTTGATCAATTAGACCACTTAACTATTTAAATATTTCAATCAAGCCTCATGTTGTTAACATTTAACAAAGTAGGTGACGTGGCAATTAAAATATTTTGATATAATTACACAATCAGTCCCTATTACTTATATATTCTTTTAATTTGGTCTTAATTATAATAAATTAAAATAAATTTAATCTTCGAATCAGGAGGTGCCATGTGTCATTAGTGACACCTGTTATGACACTTGTCGACATTCAATTGGAGGACTAAATTTATTTTAACTTGATAGATTTATTTTACACCAATCAGAGGGCTCTGTTTGAAATAAAATAAATCCGCACAATAAGAAAGGGCAAAGGGAATCGAACCCAAGACCTCTGGCTAGAATAAAATGAGCCAAACTATTGATCCAAAACAACCATTTGATATGTTTTGGACAACAAATTATGTATATTTATATATATTGTATCTTTTATATATCTTAAATTTTAAAATTATATCTTAATTTTTGTTTAACTTATTAAATATATATATTTTATTTTAATATAAAAATATATATTTTATCTTTATCATCACTTAGAAATATATTTTTTAAAATATATTTAAATATTTTATTATTAATTTAATTTAAAAATATATATTTTATTATTAACTTCATTTAAAGATATATTTTATTCTTATTTCAAGTTAAAAATATCTTTTATTATTATCTTAACTTTTAAAAATATATTTTAATTTATTACAATTAGGATCAAATTGAAAGAATATATAAGTAACAATGACCAATTATACAATTATTCCAAAATATTTTAACTTCCAGATCACCTGCTCTATTAAATTTTAACGACATATGGCTTGATTGAAATATTTAAATAATTGAGTGATTTGATTGATCAATTTGAAACACCGATAGTCAAAATAATTTTCTACCATAGTTAAGTGGTCACCCTTTAGTTTACCCAAAAAAAGGTATCAAATGTTAAATTAAACTTTCCTTAATCAAGCAAGCCGAATCCCATGTCATCATCACTCTCTTCCTTTTTCTCTGCAGCAGCGGGAGCGGCCGAAGCAGCACCGTCGGAAGCCGCCCTAGAGGAAGCAGAAACTGCAACAGGAGCACCACCACCACCGGAACCAACGTTCGTGATGACGTCATCGACGTTGACATTCTCGAGGAGCTTAGCGAAAAGGCTTGGCCAGTAAGATTCAACGCTCACGTTCGCCGCCTTCACCAATGTAGCAATCTTCTCGGCCTACAATGTTTTTAAAACATAAAATAAAACAGAAAGAAATGAAGAAATAATGAGGGAAAAAATGGAAATAATTAAAAAGACATTGAAAAAAAAAACAATTATATTCAACTTACGGTGACTGAGATTCCATCGTCGTGGAGGATCAACGCAGCGTAAGTACAGGCGATTTCGCCGGTGGCCATTGTATTCAAGATTATTCAAAAGTAAATCTGCGAATCAAGCATTCATTTTAACTGAAATGAAATTAAACAGTATAAGCAGAATAGATTGAGGGGTAAAATACCTTGGCGCGGCGTTGAGATCTCAGAGAATGGGAATCGGAAGGAAGGCTTATATATAGCGAAAATCCAGCTATAGAGAGCTATAGGGGTTTTTGGTAGGGGGGTAACAGATTGGGTTGTGTTTTTTTAATGCGACCGACCTAAAACATATATATCTTCCCCTCGAACCTAATTCGACCTAAAAATTATGTATTTTTAATTTGATTTAATTTGAAAATATATATATTCAACTCGACTTTGATCCGACTCAAATTTTTAGAACATAAATTCGACTTAACCGGATTTAATATAAAATAAGAACTTAATTAAAAAAAATTAATAGAGAGATGATATATTATAACAATTATCCATAAATCTGATCTGACTTAACTTAACCTTGAAATATTTTTTAAAAAATTAACCTTATCAAATCGGGTCAAATTATAATCAATCGATTTCGAGTTAAATTTTTATCTCTAGTTTTTGGTTAAGAAAGCGGGCCAAAAGATTTGCTTTGTTCAGATTTAATTTCCTTTGGGCCGGACTATTAGGGTAAACTATTTTTAAGTTAGTAATGATAAAAATTAAGGATAAATTATGTATTTAATTATTAATCTATTCTTGTGGTTTTATTTTGTTGATTCAAATAAATTTTTAAAATTATACTCAACGTTAATTTTTTATTTTATTTTGACTATCCGACGTTAAAAAATATTCAAGATTGCGGACATGACAATTTTGTTAATAATGATTGATATTTATCTTATAATAACACATCAACATTATTGTTAATTCTTTAACAGTGGGTGACCAAAATTGAATAAAAACATAAAATTAATATAAATTTAAAAAAAATTGACTGATCAAAACGAAACTACAAGAATAGATATATAACTAAATATGTAGTTTACTCTAAAAATAATAATTATTTAAAGATAAATTTGAGTTATATGATAAAGCTAAACATTATATATAACAAATCGAATCATAACAATATATTTTGATATTAATTAAAACATGTCATTACAAAAAATAAAATGGCCATGACTTACATTAAAATATGAAAATTTATATAAATAGACTATTAACGTGTAAAAAAACATACATTTTTAATATTCTACACCATCAAAGAGGAAAAGTATGAAATAACACTTTATTTTAAAAAATGACTTACTATACCAAATTAAGTAACATGTGTTATGATTAAAACATAAAGTGAATATAGTTGGTTCAAGCGAAATCAACAGAGTAAAAGAGATCTTAGCCGAAATAAGGTTATCGTTTTTATTAATACGAGTGATTATAATGTAGTATTTATTTAGATTTTTTTTAGTAAAGATGGTATGATGATTATAAAGAAGAATCACACAGTAGATATTACGTGTGCCTCAATTTTTTTTCTTTTTCTTTTTTGCTCAATAAATAATTTTATTGATTAAAAAGAACTTAAGTTTATGTTCGTTAAAACCTTCTTTAGATCTAGATGAAAGAAAATAGTACAATAAAAATAGCAATACGATCGAAGAGAGAACATAAAAAAACAACAAAACCTCCGAAACCTAAAAATATTACAGAATAAAGAACACACCAGCCACTCTGATTACCATCTTTCTTTGAAAAGAACACTCCTCAACATTCCAGCCTTGAGAAGATGATAGGCTCATTAAAAATCTCCTTAAATTTATATGGAAGAAAATAATACACACATAACAATTAAAACATAGAGTTTAACATAATCTAACCCCAAATAAGGGGAACCAAAACATCAAAGCTGCTATAACTTATGTAACCCACCGAGACTAATCACTATGCATCAAGTCAATCACTCCATCGAGAGGAAAGTCAATTATAACATTTTCTTAATTAATTAATATTGTATATGTACTTTGCAGTTTGTAGATACAGTTTCTCAAGCCTAAAATTTTTAGAAAGAATAACATTTTATTTTATTACTGAGACTACTTGATAATTAAAATGAACATAACATTAACAACAATTGATTATTTAAATTAAATCATTATAAATACATTCAAAATATGAAACATATTATAAAAGCAAATACTTTTGTATAGAAAACGTGATTTGTCGAATGGCAAGCAAATCCATAGTAATTCAATTTCTTGAGATTTAATATATCAATATAAATTTTAGAGTTAAATATACATTATTTTTATAGCTAAAAATATTGGAGGATTATTATCGTAATATTTTCAAATTAAGAATAAAAAATATATAAAAACGAATATTATACAATATTTTTTGTACTTTATTCACTATAATGGATACGTCTAATAAATTTTCTATTGGTTTTTGGAAAAATCCCACATTGGTTGTGTATAAGGAGGAGGGGAAATTATTTTGTTATAAATAGAGCCCTCCTCCTCCTTAGTTTAGTATCCCATAAATATAAGCCTTCTTCACTATTAAAGGCTATTTGTTTTCTTTCTCTCTTTGTAATATTTTCTCTATTAGTGAAATATTATTTTAGTAGTGTTCGAGGACATAGGCATAATTTTGGCCGAACCTCGTTAAATTTTGGTGTTCTCTTTTATGTCTATTTAATAGTTATTGTCGGGTATAATTGTTGTTAATTATTGTCCTATTAAAATTACTTGTCTTGGTAGTTCTGTCTGATGAAAGTGGGTTTTAAGAGGGACCATTGTGACCCCTCCTCTTTCCTGGGAATCTACCTTGGGTGATTTTTAGTACAATCGTTTTCACACTATTCACATAGATAATAGTTTTCAAGGTGAATTTATTATTATTGGTGGAAATTAACCTGAATTCCACAACAATTGGTATCAAAGCTCTTGGTTTATTTTAGTATGCTCTGTAGTTGCGGCTTAGGCTGATCTTCTACATCAGAAAAAATTTCCTTGGGATAATTGACATTCCGCATTGACAGCTATTAAATAGACTTTGTAGCAGAAATGACAGACGACACAAAAACATCCGCAAGAAATGTTGTGACAAATGTTAGATTTGCAGTGGAGATTTTTGATGGGACCGGTCATTTCGGCATGTGGAAAAGTGAGGTTCTAGATGCCCTATTTCAGCAGGGTCTAGACATTGCTATTGAAGGAGAGAAACTAGATGATGTTGAGGAGAAAGAATGGAAGAGGATCAATAGATTGACATGTGGTATTATTCGATCGTGTCTTTCTAGAGAGCAGAAGTATGCATTTTCTAAGGAAACTTCTGCAAGTAAATTGTGGAAGGCACTAGAGGATAAATTTTTGAAGAAAAGCGGTCAGAACAAGCTCTACATGAAAAAGAGATTGTTCCGCTTCAACTATGTACCAGGTACCACTATGAATGATCACATTACTAGCTTTAATCAGCTGGTGACTGATATGGTGAATATGGACGTGACTTTTGAAGACGAAGATCTGGCTCTGATGTTGATGAGATCACTTCTTGATGAGTTTGAGTATCTTGAAACTACTCTACTTTATGGGAATGTTGATGTGTCTCTTAGTGAAGTAACTGTTGCCTTGTATAGTTATGAATTGAGAAATAAAGACAAACAAGAAAACACAAGTGTCGAAGAAGAAGCTCTTGTTGTTAGAGGTCGTTCGAAGAGTCAGAATAAAGGAAGAAGAGGGAGATCGAAGTCAAAGTCTAGATTGAGCAAAGATGAATGTGTCTTTTGTCGAGAAAAATGGTACTGGAAGAAAGAATGTCTCAGGCTAAAGAATAAAGGTAAACCTGAAAAGGGAAAGGTTGTCTCAGAATCAAATGTGGTAGAGTATGATGATACAGATTCAGATTTCGCATTATCTGCTATGCCATCAACCAGATGTTCTAGTTCATGGCTGTTAGATTCAGCTTGTAGCCACCTTATGACCCTAATAGAGAAGGGTTCTTTGATTTTAAAGAACTAAAAGCTGGAATTGTCTACACAGCAAATAATTCCCCTCTTGACACACTTGGGATTAGTTCAATTCGCTTGAGGAATCATGATGGATCAATCAGAACCTTAACAGGTGTCCATTATGTACTAGATTTAATGAGAAATTTCATCTCTGTGGGAACCTTAGAGTCAAAAGGTTTAGAAGCGAGGGCAAAAGATGGGATTATCTCTGGTGCACTGGTGATAATGAAGGGAATCCGGAAAAGAAATAATGTGTATTACTTTTTGGGTAATACAATTGTTGGGACAGCGACAGTGGCAGCTTCTACTGATGAACAGGAGTCAGAAGCAACCAGGTTATGTCATATGCACTTGGGGCATGTTGGTGAAAAATCCTTGAAATTACTGATAGATCAAGGATTATTGAAGGGTGCTCGGGCTTGCAAATTAGCTTTTTGTAAGCATTGCATCAAAGGGAAGAAGATGAGGATGAAATTTGGAACATCAATCCATGATACTAAAGGTATTTTGGATTATGTTCATTCAGATATATGGGGGCCTTCCAAGACAACTTCATTGGGAGGAACACACTATTATGTCACCTTTGTTGATGATTTTTCCCGGAGAGTTTGGGTGTATATAATGAAGACAAAGGATGAGGTGCTAGGATTTTTCCTTAAATGGAAAAAGATGGTGGAGACTCAAACAGGCAGAAAAATCAAACGTCTCCGTACAGACAATGGTGGAGAGTACAAAAATGATCAATTTCTAAAAGTCTGTGAAAAAGAAGGTTTTGTCAGACATTTCACTGTCAGATCTACACCACAACAGAATGGAGTGACAGAGCGTATGAACCGGATATTAGTGGAGAAGGTTCAGTGTATGTTGTCTAATGCTGAGTTAGGCAAAGAATTTTGGGCTGAGGCTTTGGTCTATGCTTGTCACCTTGTCAACCGCTTACCATTGACTGCTATTGGTGGTAAAACACCATTAGAGAAATGGTTTGGAGAACCTGCTACAGATTATGATTCCTTACATGTGTTTGGTTCCACTGCATACTACCATGTTAAGGAGTCAAAGCTGTATCCAAGAGCAAAGAAGGCGGTCTTTATGGGGATCACCTCTGGTGTGAAAGGCTATCGTCTTTGG